CACACACACACACACACACACACACACACACACACACACACACACACACACACACACATCGTTCTCGTTGTCAGCTCGGCTTCAGCTTTGAATGTGTGGGTGTGGGTGTCCGAAGAGACACACAAACGCTAAAGGTGTTATAAATAACGATTCGAGAGTCACACGTTTCTTAAGCGTAAGAAGGTCTTGAGATTTCCATGGAAATAGAAAATCAAGTCAGGTGAAGAGACATAATATACAGTGGAAATGATTGAGTTTTATGGGGGTTTTTTCTTGTTTTTTGTGGGGACATGGCTCTGAATTATCTTCTAGACTGCAGTTACACAGAAGATACTGTTTTTACCCAACTGCAAAGCGTCAACTAGATACACGTCTTACAATAAAATACAAGTTTTCTGAATAAGTTGGTAGATTAAAAAGAAGTTCCTTTGCTCTAATTTTACCATTTTTATGACACGCCCCCTTAGAAAACCCCTCTCTCACAACCTCGTTCCGGATAGAAGGAATCCCCTCTTGCGCATGTGCAGACTGTTATTACACGTCAGTCAATGGTAAAACGGAAACAAACCCACTCCACAATCAGATCGTCATGTCTGTGTCTGTGAAAGACGCCAGTTTGGACTAACCTACATTTCTTCTTTTCATGTTTTATGTTTCTGAGAGACTTATAACCACTATAACATGAGAAATGCCGAGGATATGTATATTATTAATGCTGAGCAGCATTTTTGTTGTTTTGATCAGGTGTGTATAAAAGAAAAAACAGTATTTTCACAAATTCTATCTCGTTGCTTGGGAATCTCCTCAGCACTGTGCCATTGGCTTTAGATCCAGTCAGTTCAAATAGGCCCTACTGCTGGTGGTCGTAGCCCTACCTAGAAATCTAGATCTAGATTAATCTTCTTTGCATGAACCTGGAAACTGTCGATTAGTGTTTCAGGCACCAGTGTTTTAGGGTTAGATGTGACACACAAGTTATGGGGGTAGTGTAGCAAGTCTTAGAACAAGAAGAAGATGAGGATTTGGTTGAGATACGAACTCCTTCAAATTCAAACATCATCCAATGTCAATGAAATGATAAAATTCCAATGGAATAGTGTCTTCTTGTTATTTATTTATATTTGTCTTTTATTTTATTCCCATTTTTAATAAAGAACCATCTCTTCACATCCAGATGTTCACTGTTGAATGGTTGTTTTCTTTTATACAATAGTAAACTAGATTCTAAAAAAGTTGATGGCACTCTAGAAGAGCTACTGCTGCTTTTCAAATGTGATGATGCAAGGTGATCACCCGACCCCACTCGCCATTATCCCAGTTATTAGTCTAGATCTAGATTTGTATCTATCAAACTGGACACCTCAACTAAAGACAGTAAAATAAAGTAAAAATCTCATCTTTTGTTTGGAGTGAGAAACTTTAATACAAGGGGGAATTCTCATAACAAGTCTCACCTTTTGTTCGGAGAACCCTTTCCATTCCTTATGCAGCTTTGTGGCACCATGGAGCCTGCTGAAATAGATCACCGTTAATCTGAAAACAGCGGAATTATATGGAGAAAAAAAAAATCCGAAATTTTTTTTCTCAACTTAGAAGAGCAACTTCTGTAAACAGAAGAAAAAAATCCATTAGATCTAGATCTAGATATCTAGATCTAGAATCTAGATTCTCTAGATCTAGATCTAGATTCTAGTCTCGCAGATTTTTGTTCAAACTCACTCCTCTGTAATAAAATATATTCATATTGACCTGATAGCCTATAAGACATAAATAATTGCAGTGGAACTGAATAGAAAATAGTGACAATGGTGGATGAATAATAGATAATTATAGATAGCATTTGTATATAGTGCATTCCCCGCTCAACAGCAGGCTCTCTATATGCGCTTTACACTATATGAATCTCCTGACTTTCATTTTCATTGTTTTAATTTTAGATGTAAACTTTTTCTATTACACCCAGATTTAGTTTATTTTTAGAATTTAGTACTTTAACCTCGACAAAACTATGTTACTCTCTCCATGTTTGAACCAGTTTAGATTTTATAATATATTCCTAGGGCCTTTTGTTACAAGAAACTGATCTCTGCTATAAATTGTATTAAATTCATTTTGCACCTCCTCCCTTACCCCAGTCTTTTATCGCAGAGATATATGTACATTTAGCGGAGATGGCTTTTAAAAAGGACTTAAAGGACCTTAGTCTTAGGTGCATGGGTCCTTTAGGCTCAGAGTTCCAATGATCAGAGGTTTAATAGGTCCAGGCTTTAACCCTTCTTTAACTGGTCATTTGGTTTGATAGAGTCACCGGAATGTCGCTCCTCAAAAGTCAAAGTTTAACAAGGTAGAAGGACAGTTGTATTGCGGCTGTTTGTAAATTTAAAAGTATGGAAAGCCCTAAAAGGTAAAAAATAATGATGTGTGCTTTATGCTCTTTATTATACTTTATATTTCTTATGACTATTGTAGACTATTTTTAAAAAATCTTGATTTTATTTCAGAGTATCGCACAGTGAGGAAATAGTAACCCAGCAAAGTCAGCCAAGGTCATTGAGCCCAGAATTGGTTGAAACAGTTCACACAAAATTACCAGTCAATGGAGAAACCAGTACAGTTCATGCATCAGAAAGTCTTTCGCAGGCTCAGGTAATTATGCAACTTTTACAAATATTTGTATTACATTTATCTGTGCATTTGTGTGTAAGTTATGTTGTTCTGTCATATTTTAGTTGTTGTGAGTGTCCCTTTTTGATGGAATACAAGAGGGATGATTATTTTTCCCTCTCCCTGTTCTGGGTACATAATTGATCTTTGGGGATCCTGAACAGCTTTCAGTGACAGGCAAACATTCTCGTTATCTGTTCAGGGGGAAATAAACTTCAACCTTGGAGATAGCACTGCTCCCTCTTTACCATCAACGGCTGAGCAGCTAACTCCTACACCAGATGGCGAACGCGTGTTTGTTGTCGCTGCCGGGGCGGGGGGAGCTGCGGCAGTCGTTGTTATCCCTGAGACTGGGGATAAGGAAAGTGGTGCTGCCGACGGAGACAATGGAGGATTAGCAGATCAGACTTCGTCAGGGGAGCCAGAAGTGGTGAGTCCACTTCTTTTTTAAAGTCTAAGTGTTTGGGGGTGTTTAGCCAGTGTGGCGTCAAACTTCTCACCTTCTTCCCTGAACCTTATATCATGAACAACCCTTGGGCCATGCCATTCTTGTCCCCATCCCAAATTGTCAACACTTATTTCAAGCACAGACAAGGCTAGTCTGCCTTTCGTGAACTCAGCAGTTTCAATCCTCAGCATAGGCGACTGAGGATTCCTCTGTGTCTTAATGGTGGAAGCCTTTCTTATTTCATGTCTCCTAAATATCAGTGCTGTCAAAATCTCATAAATTTTTAAGGTCTGTATTTTCCTCTCTCTGATTTAGTTTCAGATGTAGATGTTCCTGACATTTTTAAAAGTTTGGTTGAGATGTGCACATCATAGTGTGAAAATTTCTGTAAAATGGAAGTTACCTGGCTGGATGGATGGGTAATAGTATTACCTGATTGTTTAGTAGTATGGATGGTTGGTGGGTGGTACTGGAAGATACTGCTACTTCTTTAGACTATCTTCCTTAACTTTTTGCCAGTCATTTTACTTTTTCTCAGTATTATGCAAGCAATATAAATATATGCTATGATGCACTCTTGGTCACTTCAAATGTATGAAAAAAGTTGTCATGTTTGGACTTTATGTTGTTTCCACTGTGACAAATAAATTATTTTCATTTATATTTCTTTAGAAAACTGTTATTTGTTGATGGGTGCTCTGGAGTGATCTGCTCTGCCTATTTCTTGTCAGTGTTGTTGTGGTCCTCATCTCTCCCTGGTTACTTGTGGCTGTTATTGTTCTTTTGTATGAGGCTTTAGCATTAATGCAAAAGTACAGACAAATGAAATAAATTGGTACAGAGAACATTTTTTTGTATATGAAACATTCCTTTCATATGTGTCTGGAATTTGTGCTCTTGTCTTGCTTTATTCCACCATTATTTACTTCCCTCAATCCAGACAAGTACACAGGGTTGTACTAGTTCAGACGCCTATCTCATCAGTCATGCTGAGACATTCATTGTGTTGACAGAGGTTTAAACATTTACTGTAAAAAAATGATGATTTAAAAAAGACTTTCTTACCAGTTCATAAGGTGCTGAAAAATAATACTTCTAAAAATGCTGAGTCACTACTGTTTATCTTACTTGGCTCTCGTTTCTACAAAATGAATTCTTCTTGTTTGGTGCACACAATGTATTTTCATTCGTTACTTGTAAAAGATCTTACTTATCTTTAACATTTTATCATCATCATATTGCTAGGGCTCTTTCATTTATAGTGCCTGCCCCAGTGATAATATTGGTGTATTGAATGGTGGTGGGAACGTAACGAGTTGTGTCAAACTTTAATTGTATTATAACTCACTCTACAATTTTATCAGTATCAGTTTGACAATGGATGGTTGATGGGTTACACAAGAAGAGCATCCCATGTTTTTCTTATCTGTCTGTTTTTCGTTTCTATACCCTTTTCAATTTCCATAGCTGCGAATAGATATAATTGTTATATATAGTATATTATGAGCCTATCTTCCTCCTGAAATATTTCAGTTTTTGGTTTGACCGATACAGACAGCATCGCAACCTTTCGTCTCTTACTGGTCGTAAAAGTGTCGATGGGAATGAAATAATGGATTAAAAATTGATTTACAACTGTTCTTTATCCTGAAAAGGTCAAACTACTTTCTTCAGCTTCACGCATGTTGGTCAAGACTCATAGTAAATGCTGGGTCAGGTTGGGAGAGTGTGAGGGAGGGGGCTGAGGACTCACTTGGGGGTGGGGATCACCCTGACAGTGCAGTCTATATAGAGTATTTTAGCCCTCTTTGCGCCGTGACTGTGACTATATTCTTACGGGTCTGATTTAAAAGTACGTGAGCTTCTAGATCCAAGCAATGTTAATCTCGCTGTCCCGTGATCATTTCATCATCTCTGATGAATTATTTATAGTCTGTTGTTTGTAAGAGTTGGTGCTTTGTCACGGTGAATCACAACGGCTTCCACCTGGTTTCTTGGTTGTTGTTTTGTTTTTGCTTTTTTGTCTTTTATTTTTACTTTTTCTTATCTGTAACCGAGACGTTCGCGCTAGTAGGGATAATGTTATTGATAATACTACTACTACTACTACTACTACTACTACTACTACTACTACTACTAATAATAATAATAATAATAATATACTATTATTAAATAATATTAATATTGCCAGAGCTTCGTGCACAATTTACCCTGAATGTGGTGCAATGTTTTGATACGGATAATTTGTGACTCTCGACCGTAGTAAAACAGGTGGTGCAATAGTAAGTTATAGACACTTCCCCGTTGCTCTTAATTGAAAGACCGGGTCACGGGAGTTCAGTTCCCACTTGGGAAAGAAGTCTTATCTGACTGGATTGACTCTCAAAGGCGGAGTCGAAGCACTTTATTCCCCCCGACCTCCACGCGACCCATAAAAGAAAAAAAATCTACCCGGAGGGCGTAAAGCATACAGTCTACATCCATTTGAGATCAGGAGAT